CCCATGCGAGCAAGCCCGCCAGTTCACTCTGTTGTGTCCAAAATGTTAAAGATGTCAGATTTGCCTTGCTAAAGCAGAGGGACAAAACAGATGCTCCCCTAGAAGATGGGAACCGAGAGCCGCAGGCAGTGCTGTCTTTTTGTCCGAGGACAGACTGTCCGAGGATACCAGCTAGGCCCTGCAACTTCAAGGTACAAAAAATACAAAAGATCTGGAAACAGACTAAGCCACAGAGAGCAGAGAAAAATAATCATCTGAACTGTCCAACACTGTGACTCATTCCAGAAAATGGGAGCATTCGTATAAAAGGATAAAGAGTTCTTGCGCCTAACCAAGTATTTAACAGAGATTCCAACTGCGTCTCTATCAGTAATGAAAGATTTGAAGTTTTGGTCTTCATCAGAATAGTGAACAGTTAAAACTCCACTTAGGCAATCTTCTCTGATCGACACTGATCATGTGTATTTATATATTTTAAACTTCGTCATCTAGCCCTTAAAGTCCTGATCTTCTCTTCTTGACAACAGGGAGCAATTCCAGCACTGCCCATAATGCTTTCAGCCCACAGACACACTGGAGAGAGCTGGTGAGTTCTCAGGACACTCCTGCGTTTGAGGACACTCTCACCAAAACCCAGAGTCACCTGCAGGCATCTCCCAGCACAGTACTCAGCAGCACCGCCACCCTGTTTGTCCAGAAAGCTTCAGAGATGCTTAGTAAACTCCTCCAGAATTGTGGGAAAGATGGAGGCATATGCATTATATGCTATAATGCGTTCCTATAGCCAAAGGTTACTTTCAATGGGATACGTGTGTCGGATACAACCTGGCAGATGGCACAAGGCATATTTTTACTGTAGTACTACTGTATGTCAATTGGTTTTGACYTATACATTTGAACAGGCTCTGAAACTTACTGGAAGAGAAATATTCCTTCGTAAATGTGAAGACCAAAGAGGGCACAATAAACTTCACTCCATCAAGGAAAAAGGCTTGTCTTGAGGTTTAAAATCCTACTCAGCCTTGATAACCTTGATCAGGTCTCTAAATATTTCACCACTCAATGTTTTCTGTAGAGAAGATTTGTTTTATTAGTCAGTTATGTCCAAAACACTGTTATAATCCTCAGAATTGTCAGTAATTCAAATAAACAATTCTCTGCCCTGCGAATAGCTGTGACTAACTACTAAGAAAATTCACACTCACAACAAAAACCCAAGCTCCCAAATATGACACGCACTGCATACTGCTACCCAAAAATCTGTACATGTGCAAACATGCACCCATCACGGACTATGAATATCCATATGGTCAGTGGTATGTAGATTGCCCAGCATATACGTTCTGCACAAGCTAGGGGGAGGAGCTTTGTATACAACTCCATAAATATATTTAAACAATAAGCCTATATTCTTTCAAATGCAATTCAGTCTGTACTTAAGCACATCTTTTCTCTATATAAAGTATTTAGACTTAGGATAGGACAAGCTTAAAATAGAAAGGTAAATCATACCGATAAGCAATTTTCATGTACATGTTATATAGCTGAAAAAAATTTGTAATAAATATCTGCACTACTGTTTAATAGTCTATAAATGGCACTTGCCTAAGGGCTACTTCAAATTGGAATGCTTGAAAATGGAAAAACAAAATACTTGCCTACGGTAGAAAGAAAATAGTTGCAGAAATATTTAAATTTTAACTACACAACATTGGAAATTCAAGCTCTGATTATTCAGCACTACTTTTCATCCTACTTTAAATATATATTTTTCTATATATTTTAAGGGTTCAAAAACAATCTACTGTTAGCAATAACATGCATTTAATATCACTAACTGCTAAACCAAACTGCATAGCTGTGGTTGAAACAATGCTCCATCTGAATTTATGCAGATACTGTAAAAACTCCATGGCAAGTTACTAAAGATCTAAACTACYGTACAGAAAATACAAAAAGCCATAATCAGTCCTATCAATATTCCTCATATTGGCTGACTACTGCCATCAAAAAATGGTTGGTGCTTGTGCACCAAGAACATAGTGCAGGTCCACGCTTTGTGTGAGCAYGTCACCAACCCTAAAATCCCGTTGAATGTACCTTAGAAATGACTGCAGTGAGAGCACCCTTTTAAAGTTTTTTCTTCATTAAGCTAAATAAAGCACAAGAAGCACTTTTACACTACTTAGCACACCTTACGCCTTAAACCATGTCTTACCAATGCCAGCCTAGCAAGCTCATCTCAAGTAAGGATCTTCGATACTGGAAAAGGAGGTTCTCGCAGTTTTCTAAGGGCAAAGCACAGCCAGAATGCTTACCAGAACCCCTCCTATCCCTGGAAAACTGAAGCCTTCTGTTTATTAACAGAACAAGCAGGGCACAAGAAAGTGCACAGAGAGTCTGTACTCTCAAATCCTGTCAGATTTACTTAATATTCAAACACAATCAGTTCCTTAATGGAATGGTCTATGTTAAGAACTGCTTGGAAAGATGTGTGTCAATCAGATTGCTATTGTGGACACAGGATTTAAAACCAAATGGGCTAAAGCACCTTATTTGACTCCGCATAGACATCAAAAGAAAAACGTTCTCAATTACTGGATTTAAAACTGAGAGGATTAACAACTATTTGATATAAGTAATCCCATGAATTAACACTCCTTGATATGAATAGAGAGCTAGCACACCAGCTAATTTGTTTAATTTTAGTTAGGGCTTAATTTAGGGAGATGTTCTTTTCCTCTTGTTTTACCAGCTATCACTCTCTAGCAAATACAATATGGCTGGTATATTTTTGAAGACATGACTAATTATATTATTCTAAAGCTTGAAATAAACTTTCTTTTTTTAGTACCACTTTCACATTCATTTTCTCTTTATGCATATTTTCTCAATATGCTTTAGAAAACTCAGAAAAAAAAACAAAGAGAAAATAGAGGTTGGCCTCTGAAGTGTTCAGAGGTCCTGCCCAGACCKCACGAGACCCAGACCTGGTCTCATGTCCAGACCTTCTGTTACCACACACAGAACCTGCCCCAGCACAGCCTGGGCCCCTTTCACYACATGTTCAAGAGCCCCAGTGCAGCAGCAGGAACCGCCTTTCTAGGAACAGGAATCACTTGATACATAAAAGAACCTGGACTGAGAAATCCGTGGGCATGAGGCAGCTGTGGGAGGAAGAACCAGGCAGGCGTTCTGGCTTGGCCAATTTAATGGCACTCTGGGAGAGCCGACGGACACTGGTTGTGTGGTGATCCACATGAACACCAAGTTGAAGCCCTGGCTTAGAGAGGTGCACAGGTAGAAAAGGTGCCCGAGTGTCATCTTCTATTTACACGGCTCCAAGGTAGCCATTCTCGGCAGCAGGGACCCGTATTTTTACTTTCAAAACACTAATTTAAGACTTCACCTCTAAACCTTTCCTGAGTACCATATACACACATGTGTTTCCTTAGGATGTTTACCACTAACAGTCTAGCACATCTGCTCCAGGACTACTGCAGGCCATCCCTAACGATGGAAGAAATCCAGTCCTTTTTACATAATGAAAGCAGTCGCTCACTCAAGTACCAAGTCCCTTTTCCAGTATCACATACTATTTTCCAAGCACATTACACAAGAAAATAATAAAAATGTTCATTTTCAATAAAAGAGAAAAAGGTTAGCTGCAGCTCAGGAGAAATACCAGCATCTTTTGGAAATTTCTCTTATGGTCTTATAGTCATCCAGAGCTTTTGGAAGTATATAGGATGTTTTCAATCAAAAGCAGGTAAGGGTAAGGCTAAAACAGAAAACAGCCCCCCTCCCCCCTCAAAAAAACAAATTTTGAGCTTCCTGTTCAAGAAGTATCCACTGGAAATTAAGCATCTGTGCTGAAGAGCCAAATCCATGTTCTTCCTACACTTCTATAAAGGTATTCTCCAATACTGAAGACCTATTCATCCCAAAATCACAGAATGATTAAGGTTGGAAGGAATCTCTAGAGATCATCCAGTCCAACCATCTATTCATGCTTTTCCAAATATAGTTCCACTGAGATTACCTAAGGCTTAAAGCACATATAATGCTTATCAACTACTGATAATAACCAGTAAAGAGTAAAGACTCATTTCATAAAAATAAATTCCTCTTTCAATTGSCTAACTCATAACTTTTTCCTTTCTTTTTGGAATGATCTTTTAATCCTAGCAGAAATCAGGAGCCTTACAACCCACAATACTGCTTCATTCGGTAACTCAGTGATGCAGCTCCTGCATTCTGCCTCAAAGACTCCTGCTACTGGGGATAGAACAGTCCTTAATATATATAAAATATTTTTCAGGTCTTTTTTTTTAACAAATATATGATCTACAGGTATTAAATTTTTCCTTCTGATCACTGATCAGAGCCTGAGGACTAGACAGTCTTAGTTACTTGTATCCTGACAGTTGAAATACTCCTGTTTATGAAACACAGGACTATTTCATTGTGTTTACTGGTGATTTCCTTCTGAAACATGTTCTCTCTTTGATTTCAAGACCAATTGAGCCAGATTATTTTGTTAAATTACCTGCATGTCAAACTTTGACAGATTAGTGTACAATTATCTACTGGGCCACATACACAAGCAAACAAAAATCTGGACACTAATAACTTACCCATTTTAAATACACACGTGACTTTTTATTTCTAATTCATTTTCTTAGCATCTCTGATCAAGTTTGGTTTGGCAGAAGACTTTTCAAATGTCTCCTTTCACAGTTAGTGTAYATAAAATGCTTCTTTCTAAGCAACTTTAGGACGAGAATAAGGAACTAATATTTTAGCTGTCTCTAACAGCTCCAATTAGAGCCCTGAGATCTCTTTTAATCACAAATCACATCAGAATTAGTTTCCTGTTCCTCCCAACACAACCTCTACTTTAAGTATTTCATCCTATCATTGGTTATTTTCTTAGCCTAGGACACTGAGAAATAGCTGTTTTCAAATATGCAGGAATGTAGGAAAGGATATGCACTTACCAAGTGAACATAAGGCACAAAGTATCCAAAAAGTGCAGCGGGGATCCCAAACGCCCAGATTCGGTAACTGGTCACTTTGAAAACGGAGAAATTGAAAATCTTCTTCCCCGGGGGAAACCGGAACTTGCCCTTCTTCCCGTCGTCTTTGTCTTTGGCATTGGGAGCGAGGGGTTTGTAGGTGAAGCCGGCCAGGAAGAGGACGAACATAAGGACGCAGAGGACCCGCAAGGTGTTGTAGAGGCCCACGGAATCGATGAGAACGCGCAGCAGGAAGGGCAGCGACACCGTGAACAGGCTGCTGCCCGCCGTGACGATGCCGTTGACGAGGCCGAGGCGCTTCTTGAAGTAGTAGCCGAGCACGACCAAGGAGGGCTGGTAGGCGAAGGAGCAGCCGCAGGCGAACAGCACCCCGTAGGTGAAGTACAGGGGCTCGATGGTGCTGCGGCACGAGAGCAAAGCCCAAAGGGTCATTAGGGTTTTGTGCGGCRCTCTGGGCACATGCAGCTTTTACGTGAAGAATTACAAAATTTAACTGACAGTTTATAGGCACTTTATGGTTCAAATATGCTGCATCAGCTTAGATCAGCAGTTGTTCAGCAGAAAAAAAAGAGGATTTCATAAACTTCAATGAAAAGCAAACTTTACTTAAGCAGAAAAACACTGAACACTGACTAAAATTATTTTTTWAAAAAAGTCAACGTGAACTAGCCAAATACAACTTCAACCATTGAATTTTTCTTTGTTTGCTTATTCCTCTCTCCAACAAAAATTGTGTTTTATTTTTCATTTTAGACATCTCTGCTKTGCTAGATTCAGTTCAAACATAGTAGTAGAGCATTCCTCATGACTCCAGGAAAAATAAATGTATTTATATTGTCTACTAGGAAAATATAGTAGCCAAAATAGCCCACATTATTAATAGTGGAAAAATGTATCATCAAAATACTTCTGAGCTGGGTAATACAATGCATTATTAACATAACAAATTTCAGGGGTTGGTTTTGTTTTGCTTTTGGACAAATCCCATTTTATTTCATACTTCAAATTCAGTTTTGAGCTATGTATTGGATAGGCCCRAAAAGTAACAGGGAAAATAATAATAAAATGAATCAGCTCATGTAAAGGAGAATCCTCGTCACAAAGATCATCCCTTGTGGTTGTGTATCATGCACTATCCAAGGCAACCAAAGTGAAGCATGGTCTTTGCTTGATAACACAGCTTCCTGGACATGAAAGGGTGCTTGTTCAAAAAATCTTAATAGTATGAAATAATATTTTTAGCTTAGTTATGTTAATAATTCAAAGAAATTTTTTTCACCCCTTAGATAAAGGATTAGCATTTCAGAAATGTTATTACACAAAATTTCTGCAGTGGTCCTTATTTTACTTAATTTTTATTAAATGTTATGCTAGAAAAGAACTTTTGGTTCATTAAAGCCACCTACGTCTTCTTTCACAGTAGTTTTTGAAAGCCAGATAAGCTGTATTAATAAATACATTAAGCTCTTAATTTGGGAATTTTGAAATGAAGCCGTTTCTAGTGAGACAACAGAGAAAAACAGCTGCTATCAACTGGTGTAATGCTCTACAGAAGCAACATTTTAAGAACACCCTGACATTAGAAGTTCTCCTGGAGGGATTTAAAATTTTGCTGCGCTACCACCCTTGAGTTTCTGTGTCTCAGCTTCCTCCCACATTACAATGTCACAAGAAGCTTTCAGAAATTTTGCTGAGGATACACAAAGTAATACAAATCATTTTAAACAGTCATCTTTGGATTGAGTTATGCTGGTTATGTATCAGTTAACAGGGATTGAAAGGACGGTTCTGCCCAAGTTTTTCATCTTAGGATGTTAGCTGCCAGCACTCTGCTCTCTAGACCACAATTCAGTTTGTAAACTTCCTATGCAATTGCAGAAATTCTTAGAAAATAAATATTTGGCTAACTCACGTCTGACACCTCTTGTTCTGTGCATTATTATGAGAAAGAACAGTTAATATCTAACAGTTAACAGTGCCAATTTCTGCAATACAGTATSAACATTGAACACTGATCATATCAAGGGCAGCCAACAGAAGCAATGTAAGGGGAAAGAGTGATTACCTTTATCATTATAGAAAATGTTCAAGAAAAATAAAACAGACATTACAAAGAGCAACATAATATAGAGTGAGGTGAAAACTTCAGCTTCCGTCTGTAYGTTTATTCAAAGAGTTTGCTGCATGAAATAGAGTAAAATATTTTTCCTATATTATATATACACTCTTACTTCTCAGCTTCCTAAGAGATAAAATTTACCCAAGATATCAATAGGTAAAAAAAGCAGTAAATCCTATCTMCTTTATACTCAATTTTTTGAATATTGACCTTTTTGAATCTGACCTATATTCACTTAACTGATAACATCATAGACATAAATAATGTCATAGTTTAAGGAACTTATCAGAACATCAAGAAAATACAAACGTAAGATGTAATTTAAAAAAAATCAGTTCTCCAAAACACATAAATGCTCCTGAAATTCAAAGCTCAAATAAGCTAAAAGACTGTTTTAAATTCTTTACAAAATAACTTCCCTTTACATGCCTCTTCTATCTTGTTGTTCCAGTGGATATCAAAGAACCACACATGGGTAACTATTTTGTTCAAGGGAAGGAAGAAGCTTTCCTTTATCAAGAGGGCTTATCTATAATAAAGAGGCTATTTTAATATGTATCAATTAACACAATATTGKGAAGTGGGGAGGAAGAAAGGATTTTCAAAGGCACATTCTTTTAGTCTTCACATGTGAATTYGATAACTTAAGCCTCTGAAAGCAGGTATCAGGAAGCTTCTTTCAAAAAAATATATAGGCTAAATATTTGCACTCCAATTAGCTAAAGTTTCGAAAAGAAAATCAGCAACTTGTTAACTGAACAAGAAAGCAAAGCTTTTCTTTTCCCAGAAGCAAGAGTTATTCTAAGAATACAGACAAACACACTAATCTCAGTACCTACACCAGAACTACTTGAATTTGTCTTCTCTTCCTGCAAATGTGTGCGTGTGCTTTCACAGAAGGGCAGATATGCCCAAACCAGCAGTACTAGCCCAGGCACAGTGCCACGCAGCCTGGATATCCAGCTTCCAGACCACAGCCAACATGAATCTAACTCGTCTGGACCACGGGCACAGAATATACATCTTTGCAAACCTGCCTGCATATACCTTTTCATCTATGTAGAAAACCCCTTCTGAATTTTGCTTCTGGTTGTCCTCCTACTTATTCTGGTAAGGGTGGAAAGGGGCAGAGTTAGGAAGGAGAGGTACTTGCAGTTTAATCTCTTACACGCTCTTCCCCTCTCATCCTGAGCCTAATTTTAATAACACAAGTATCTAAAATTCCTGTTTCCTCATCTTCCAGTAGCCAAGTCCAGCATGTCATTTCTGAGAATCTACTGTGCAAGAGTTACAAGATGAAGCATCACCGGGAAGGGAGGAGAGGGGGGAACAACTACCAAGTCTTTATTAACTAATAATTTCTTGATAAAGGCCAATAGGCCCTAGGCATATGCCATCATATCAAGATTTTCAACCCCTCAGTGTCTGGCAATTTGACAAGAAAGAATAGTGAAAATCTAACCTGACTGGAACATTATGGAATAATGAATATAWGGCAACTTCTACGAACTTCTATGGAGTTGCCGTATATTTAATCAATATTAAAACAATATTTTAAAAGCAAATTGTAAATAATGACAATACCTATGCACCTGCTAAAGTACAGCGTATATCAAGATCTAAAGTTAAATTTTATAAAAACCTTGTTYAAGTGCTCATCTCACAGCATTAGTCTTGTTCCTGACACATTCAGTAGCTCTTTTTAAATAAGGATATATATACACCAAATATATACCAAAACAAAACCTATATTTTTTTTCTTTTTACCTTACAAAGGAGCTTGATAGGAGTCCAACAAACCCTACTGCTGCTCCAATAACTGCTACTTTTCGGCACCCAAAGAGGTCTGTGAACACGCTGACTATCGGAGAGCAGAAGAAGATCATCCCCATGGACAGAGAGCTCACCCATGCTGCACAAGAGAATAGCAAGGTTTTAGAAGACAAATTATTTAAGTTTTCAGGTACTATTTAATTGAGAAACCTAAAATCCTATACAAAAGTGAAAATTAATACAATTAAATATATACTTAATGTGATTTAAAAAAAAAAAAGAAAAATCATGGCCTAACAAATTCATATGATCAAATCATTTGGATACTGTCAATTCCAGAAATGCAAGAAGTTCTTATTGCTTTTTCTTTTAAACACAATTATTCCATTACTATGAATACTGATTTAGACACAGACGCTCCACAACCACATGGAAAATTACTACCGCATATTTCACTTGATTAATTCTAGATTTTAATGACTTTTAGCAGCTAGGATAGCTGAAAAACAAATTCTTAATTACACAGAACTAGATCATACTATTGAGTGAACTAATACTATCAGTTATCTTTTTACTGTAATAAAAAGTCAAGGAGTATGATTTTATTTTAAAGCAAAAGAACTTTGATTGCAACTGTTCCTTAGATGACTAAAGTATCACTGCATCTCTTACTCTTCAGCTTCTCAGATGCTGTAAAAGGCTGTATATTTTGTTTATAAATAAATCTTTAGATCACTAAGAAACAGTTCCCGGAGTACACTAAAGTTTCAGTCACAAAAGCTGTAGATGGCTTTTCGTTTATTTGTTTTTAATCCAAATGTACCGACTCACCTGCTGAAACATCTTCAAGTTCTTTGGGTAAAAAAAAAAGTGTTTCATTCCTTTTTAGTTAAAATCAACTTTCTACTTCATTTTGTACAGTGTCATTTATTGAAAACGACATCATTTGGCAGCTACCATCTAATCATTCTCCCAAAACTGGGTTAGTTACATCTAAAAGTTCTTCATCCGGGGCAAGTTACTGTTGTAACACAACATTTAGAACAAGCATATTTAGGAGAGTAAAAGTCTCCCCTAAATATTCTTTTACTCAGAAGAAATAATCTGGGTGTACCTGGGTAGTGAGAAAAGCTCTTGATGCAGAGAAGCACTGGGAAAAAAAAAAAACACTTTGGGGGACTGCTTGGGTAACAAAAGAACTCTAATAGGTTTTAAATTCGCATAATCACAGTTCCATTTAGAACCATTTTCTAAGGACAGAGTTAGATAGTTGTGGTTCAGTGACAAGAACACATAACGTTATCTTAAAAACATAACTAAGAGATCTATGGAAGAATATTTGGAAGGATATATATCAAGATTTAGAAGCAGCATCACTAAGGGGCTCGAGAACCCTCCCCACGATGAAGATCCCGCTGTGCTGGGCACTGTCCAGCAGAACAAAACCAGCACACAAGCAAGCATTGCTSCAGTAATTGTCTGCATTGTCTGCAGGATAAATGTAAGCCAAAAGAGTACAGCTGGCTGAGAGAAGCAAAAAACAAGAGTACAGAATATAAGCTTTATGTTAGGTAAAAAATTATCTCAATAAAAAACAGCCTGTTCATTGAGGATTGTTTAGAGGGGAGATTTTTTCCACACTTAATAAACCCTATAGAGTTTCAAGGAGCAACTTAAAAGAATGAGGTACTTTTATGGATATTTACTGCAGTTGCTGGGTATGCAAACCCAGATAACATAGTCCTGCCAGCCGTGCACCTCTGCAACAGCAGGGACACTACCCAAAAGGCAAGGAGAGACTTTGTAAGAGGTCTGGCCTTCTCTGCGAGACCTGTCCTGCGCTGCAGCACAGATGGCTCCTGACGTTGCCAGACAGCAGGGCAGCAGGGGCAGTTGGCAGCCAGAAGGCAGAGCAAGGACACTAAGGCGCTCTCCTGGGCTGCAGGCCAGCCAGCTGCAGAGCTGCTGGAGTCCCTGGAACCCCTCATCTCTCTCGACCTTCCCCGGAACGAGGCATACGGAGCCTCCAGTAACTTCCATCCAAAGGAAACTGAACTTGGGCACTTCGTGCCGCCCAGATGCCCTGTAGCYGCCTGAGCCTCGGCGAGAAGGTCCTGAGAAACAGCTGAAGCCCCTGGCAGCCTTTCTGCCCAGACACAAGAGGACACAGGGGTGACAGCGGCACTGATGCAGCCCAGCAGAGGTTACAGGCTAAGAGTAACCCAAGCACACATGCACCCCGATCCGAGGCGCAAAGAAACTCCTCAGCTGGAAGGGAATTTAAATAACTTGCACAAAGACACAAGATAAATTCATTCAGAGCTACAAATGCAGTCCAGCCACCCTAATTTCCAATCAGTACAAGCCACAATTCAAGTACCTATCTTCTTGGTTTAATCAAGTGGTTTACGGTAATTCTTCATGTCTTATAGAGCTAATAAAATAATTAGAATATAAAAGCCTAAGGGGAAAACATTCCGTCCAAATTATATCCAATTAACAACATGCTGAGTTCAAATTTTCATGTTTCCAGGGCTTAAAGGAAATAAGCCTTTCTTATCACTTGATTTTCTTTTCCTCTTGTTAGAGCACTGCCAGGCCAAGCCTGCAATGAAGGAAGGTGCTGCTGATTTTCAGGGGGACAGAAGGAACATGGGAAGGTCAGCAGCAGGATCAGCTGCAGTTTTTCAGAACAGCACTGTGATCGACRACCACAACCGTGAACCAGGAAAATCATTTACCCATTTAAGAAAAAACTCCAAAAACAAAAACACACATAGCCTATTCCATTCATACTGTACCATTTACCTGCTACCTGGCACCTTACGAGTTGCTTATAATTAAGTTAATGAGACACACTCAGGTCTTAAAGAAATATAGAAAAAAAAGAGGTATTTTTGCCATATATCATATATGAACAACTTCATTATTAAACAAAGGAACATTAAGTTACACCTAACAAGATGCATGTTTTCTGAGATTTACTGCCTTCATCCTTTGTGAAGTAACTCAGCATTAAAATAAAATTTATKATATTTTAATTAAGAACACCACAGCTGCAGATTGCATTAATTCCTTTAAGGCAAACAAGTCTTACTACAGTATCTTGATCACACAAAGGCGTAAATAGACTCAAGTAATTTTAAATTTATCTTTCCCCCAAATAAAATTTTATGTGTTCTTACACTTTTTTTTTATCCCCTATAAAAGGTACACAGAACTACCTTCCACATTTTTAAGTACAGACTACAATAACTATCTCAAATAAGTAACATGAAATATTACGAAAGCAGCTTGCCAAGGCAATGAGAGTTCTGCAAAGTGGTTATTACACATTAATTAAAACACTTCTCCAGGCTACTGGCCACTTTCCTGGCCACACGCTGGCTATATTCCAGAGCTGCTAATTCAGATAATATTGCACCTAATTGCTGCATATAACTGCATTCATATTTACCCATAAAACACTTTAATTACCATAAGAGAAAAGTTACTCCTTTAAGGATTTAAGTTTTCCATTGGCAACAAAACTTAAGCTTTTGCTCCTCAGAATAGGTGATTGCACAATAATCTATTTCAAACCTTCCACGTACAATGTAATACTAGTTATTAATTCAGATAAAACACCAAACCGGGTAATTTATTGATGTGACTTGTATCAAAAAAACTGTTTCAATGCCATTCAAGTAACAGGTTACAGAAGAATTTGTTATTGCAACCAAAGTAAGAATCGCAGCTCGCTCTCCTTTGCTTAGTCATTACAAACGCGTGTACTTCAGTGGTCATCTACTATTTTTCTTAAAGAAGATTACTTCTACTTGGAAATCTATGCCTGCAAAACTATAACACATACTCCACAAACTGGCTACCATTGCACGATAAGTTTGTTCAAACTCAGTCATATTTTAAGTAACGTCTGTAATCTTTGGCAATTTGAGAGTTTTAGAAATAATTTCTTTTTTGTCATGGGTGTATTATGTAATACATGATTTTTTTTTTTTTTACTGTGAAACAGTGTGTCAAATCTTTTAGTTCATTTTCTGAATCCAAACAGTAGGACTTCTACATGACAACTTAACAAAAAGAGCACAAATAACATATCTCATTAGAATATTTCTTTATATATGAGACTTAGGTGAAGGCTACTTAACCACGGTATTTCTTTACATCTTTTTTTTCCTCTGTGCATTACAGTAACAATCTTGTCTCAGTTTTATCATCACAAAGGTCTTTCAAGTGGTTGGCTTCACACAGCAACAAAAGCCTTTATTTTGTAATGAACTTCATAAGAGTGTTAAAAGCTCTTCCCCTGGGAATTTCCTGGCTGGAGGCAGGGAACAAAAAAGACATTGTAAGAGAAGCGATACGAAGCAAGTGAAGGAAGAATATTTACGGTGAGGTTTTAAAAATCAACTTGAAAAATATTTGGTTTYCCCGCATTAAAATCAGATTTATGCTTTCCTACAAGTCAAGCAGTGAATGAAGACAGCCCTGTAATTCCAGCTGGCTGCATGGACTATGGAGCAAACTGCATGTGTTTGGGTAGGGCTAGCACTCTCACAGCCTGCCAGTGAAAGCAAACCTCTGCTATTTGATACAGTTCCCATGCATAAAGATCCATGCTCATGCTCTACCTTTAAACATTCACAAAAGACAAGTGGATGTTTATCCCCTAAATCAGCACCCCCTCTCACTGTGAGACATCCCTTTCCCAAATCCATTCTGCTGCTGCGCTGTTAGGTAACCAGGAGAGCAGGTCAGGCTGTGCTATTCTGCCAGGTGTTAGACGTACAAACTGTGACCGTGCCAGATAATGAGAAATCAGCGTGTTACCTCATTAACAGTCAGATCCTACAGGATGAGGAACATGACTCAGGCTGGCTCACAGTCCTTTTTTCATTTATAAGATGGGAAAAAAAAAMATTAAAGAAAATGTGAAATTCTAGCAGTTTTGCTGGTACATGCTCTTAAAAAAGAGTGCTGAGGGAACTGGCAGGTGTCATGGCCAGGCCACTCCTGATCACCTTTGAAAGGTAAATGGGATAGCTGAGAGGTACCTRAGGATGGGGAGGGGGGGGAAGCTAATGCCACTCCAGTCTTCAAAATCAGCAAGGAGAGGACCCAGGGAACTACATGCAG